TCACAAACAAGGATTTGTCGGATTTGTGCTCTACGATCTTGCGTCGGCAGTTCGACGGCAATTGTTTGAGTTGTTGTGCAGAATGATGGCAGGTTGGAGAGGGTGCCAATCGTTTGGTTTCGCTGCCGGTGTTTGAAGCTCTTGCTTTTCCCATGATTTGGTCTGGTTTGTGGCCGTCTGCCTTCGAGGAAACATGTCTCCCAAAGTAGCCGCAGACTCAAAAAAGCTTTACAGCCATGAAAAGCGAGCAAAGCTATGAGGTGGCCAGCCACGTGGCGGTTTAGGGTTTCAGATTCGCTTCGGGTCTAGGCGTTTAGGGCTAGGGATATCCTGCTTCATTTCCGAAAGTTCGGGGGCATTTGCAGCCAGCCTTGATGCGGTTTCGAGCTCATGAGCAGCCAGGGGATCGCCGATTTAGGGTTTGGGTCTTGTTCGTTTTCGGGCTTAAGCCTCGTTTGGCTTTTGTCAACGGCAGAAATGCGTTGAAAGATTTTGTATTGCCCTATCGGTTGGCTTCATGTGAAGCTGTGTGCAACATCATTGGATCGGTGCTTCTTGTTGTCCATGTGTCGTGTTGCAGATCGCTCAGTTTTCAGCAGAAGCTTTGCGCCATCGTTGCAACATGTTTGCAGCCCTTGACCTCGACGGAGGTTTTCTCCCAATGCATCTGCGCTCTGCGATCTTGCGTCGGCAGTTCGACGGCAATTGTTTGAGTTGTTGCGAAGAATGATGGCAGGTTGGAGAGGGCGCCGATCGTTTGGTTTCGCTGCGGGGGTTTGAAGTTCTTGCTTTTCCCATGATTTGGTCTGGTTTGTGGCCGTCTGCCTTCGAGGATTCATGTCTCCCAAAGTAGCCGCAGACTCAAAAAAGCTTGACAGCCATGAAAAGCGCGCAAAGCTATGAGGTGGCCAGCCACGTTGCGGTTTAGGGTTTCAGATTCGCTTCGGGTCTAGGCGTTTAGGGCTAGGGATATCCTGCTTCATTTCCGAAAGTTCGGGGGCATTTGCAGCCAGCCTTGATGCGGTTTCGGGCTCATGGGCAGCCAGGGGATCGCCGATTTAGGGTTTGGGTCTTGTTCGTTTTCGGGCTTAAGCCTCGCTTGGCTTTTGCCATCGACAGAAGTCTTCGCGAGTCAGGTTTGCGTTGAAAGATTCTGTATTGCCCTTTCGATTGTTGGATCGGTGTTTCTTGTTGTCCATGTGTCGTTTTGCAGATCGCTTAGTTTTTCAGCAGAAGCTTTGCGCCATCGTTGCAACATGTTTGCAGCCCTTGACCTCGACGGAGGTTTTCTCCCAATGCAGCCGCAGATGCGAACAACTTGCCAGCAAAACTCCAGCCATGAAAAGCCGACATACATGTTTTCGGGAGTTGGCCATGCAATTTGGGGTAAGGGTAGTGCTTTCGGCGTTTGGGATGTCCTGATTCGTTGCCGGGGCTCGGGGTCACGCGCAATCAGCCATGATGCTTTCAGATGGGCAGACGAGGGTTCCCCGATTTAGGGTTCGGGGCTTGTCAGCCGTTTTTGGTTGTCGGGTTTCGTTTTGGTTCTGTGATTGGCAGAGGCTGCCATAAACAAGGATTTGTCGGATTGCGTTGTATAATCTTGCATCTGGATGTCAGTTGGCTCTGCGCAAGTCGTTGGCAGCCTCTTGCAAGTTTGGATGAGGTGCCGGCCGGGCTAGTCGTGTCGTCCCGCTGCGTCCATGTGTCCCTTAAATGTTCATTCTTGCAGAAGTAGTGCGTGGTTGTTAGCATGTTAGCAGCTCTTGAATTCAGATTTCGTTGTCCGGTTTCCGACCGTCGGCCTTCGACGAATCATGTTTCCTGGAGCAGCTGCAAATGCCAAAGCCTGCCAGCTTTGCGAACGTGAAAAGCGAACATGCGCAATTTTGAGAGGTTTCCAGGCAGCTTTCGGCTTAAGGTTGCAGATTCGCTTCGGGTTTCCAAATGTCATCATTCCTTCCAGCGGTTCGGGGGTCAAGCACAGTCAGCATGGTGCACGTTCGGGCTCTTGGCCGGCGTGGGCTTGCCCGATTTAGGGTTTAGCCTAAACTTTAGGGTTTGTCAGCCGTCCTTCGTTGTGAGTTTGTTCGGGTTTTGTCGTCAACAGGTCGTCTTGAAGGGGGGGTGCCGGTCCTGTTTTTTGTTGCTGCCATGTGTCTGATTGCATGGTGTGTGTGTGTGTGTGTGTGTTTGTGTGTGTGTGTTTTTGTGGCAAAAGCTGTGCATGTTCGCAGCTTTTGCTTCTCCCATGGTCTTGTCCGTTGTCGGTTGTCGGCCTTCGGCGAAACATGTCTCCAGAAGCACCCACAGACGCAAAAGCACATGCCAAAAAAGTTATAGCCTTCAAGAGCAATGGAGCATGCTTGTGAGAGGTGGCCGGTTGAGGATTTGCTTGGGGTTTAAGGATGTCATCATTCCTTTGGGGTTCGGTGTCGAGCACAGACAGCCATGATACATTTTCATTCTCATGGACAGGGTGGGATCGCCGATTTAGTGTTTAGGGTTTGTCAGCCGTCTTTCGTTGTCGGGTTTGAACCTTGTTTGGGTTTGGCTTTGGGTTTGGTCATCGACAGACGATTTCGCAAGCAAAGATTTGTCAGATTAACGTTGTAGCATCTTGCATCTGCATGTCAGTTGCTATTGCCTAAGTCGTTGGGCAGATTTTGCAGGTTGGATGGGGCGCCGGTCGTGTCTTTAATCGCTGCCGAATTGTTTGTTTGCATATTGGTTTGCGTGCCTGCGTGCATGTGTGAACTTCTTTAGCACGTGGGAAAAGAGGGTAACTCCTACAATTGTTTGCTTTCTTGCGTTGCAGGGGGACACGGCATGTCATGGGGATTGCGTCCAACGAATCTACCAGTGACATGGGAAGAGGAGACTGATCATCCGCTTGTGCCTGCAAGGCAACCCCCTGAGGTGCCACGATTAGGTAAAAAAGGCGATTCTACAACGAACAACAACCCCGCCTCACCCCTCTTCTCTGCTTGCGAAATTCCATAAATGTGTTTGTTGCAAAAGCTCTGTGTGCCTGTGGTATTACCTCTGCAGTCTTGCTTGCTCGACGAATCATGTCTCGCAAAGTAGCAAAAGGCGGCTGTTCATCATCGATCTAGGGTTTGCGGATTTGATCGCGTTTAAGATGTCCTGATTCGTTTCAGAGGTTTCGGGGTCTAAGTCAATCAGCGGTGGTGCATCATGGGCAGCCAGGGTTCCTGGAATTTACGGCTTCGGGTTTGTCAGCCGGCCTGGCTTCGGGTTTGAGCCTTGTTTGGGTTTGTCATCCTAAATTGCCGTCCCGGCAAGTACGTGCCACGTTTGTTGTAAGATCTTTGCATCCGAAATTCGCTTAACACAGCGCGCGTGGCTGTGCAAAATGTTTGCAAATTGGTTCGAGTTCTGGCCGTTCGTTTGCGCCTGTGTTGTTTGTGTATTCGCTTACGTTTTTTGGCAGTTTTTTGGCAAAGCCCTTCTCGTGATTGTGGCATCATGTTTGCAGTTCTTGTTATCATACGCTGTTGTCCGTTTTTCGACGGCGGCTTTCCACGAACCTGTTCCCGGAGCAACAGCGGACCCGACAAGACATGGCAGCAAACTGCAGCCATGAAAATCGAGCAGCGATGGCCGTTTATCCTTCGGTTAAGGGTTGAGGATTTGCCGCGGTTCAGGGATGTCATCATTTCTTCCGGTTCGGGGTCGTGCAGTCAGCCATGATGCACTTTCGGGTTCGTGGGCAGCGTGGGGTTCTACGATTTAAGGTTTAGGGTTTGTCAGTTGTCTTTCGTCTTTTGGGTTGTGTCATCCACAGCGGGCATCACATCCAAGGATAAATTTGTCAGATTTGCCCTGTAAGAATTTGTGTTTCCATTTCGATTGATTTCATGTGACGCTTTGTGCAACATCGTTGGTCCATGAGTCTTTAGAGAATGTTCAATTTTCGCGGAAGCTTTACTCGATTGTTGCATTTGTTTTTTTGCTGAACTCGAGGATTGTTGTTGCTGCTTTTCGTGTAGTCTAGTCCCGGCCGGCCATCCTTCGATCATGTGTTCTGTTTGGGATTGGCCATGATTCGGTTCGGAGGTCAGGGACAAAGGTTTGCCGGCCACAGCTAGACGTGGTGTCAGCAACCGACTATCTCCAAGTGTGGGGCTTGTAAATGTGCTTGTCGGCCATCGTTTGCTACTCGGTTTTGGCGTTCTTTGGGTTTTGTCATCTGCGGCCTGTCCGCTTCAATTGAAGCCTTTTCAATCCCCATTCCCCCAGTGTAGCGTTGACCCGCAATCCTTGACGATGTGGGGTTCATATACTTCATCTCGAGTCAAGTAAGGGCCATGAGTTGTTTCAGAGGTTGGGAGTCAAGGGTTGGTCACCCTCCGTGCGTTGTCAGGCTATACAAGAGTTGGCGAGTCGTTTCCTTTTTCACGCGTTGTCAGCCATACTTGCCAGTCAAGAAAATACCTATCCTGACAAAACAAGACTCTGAAGTGGACTACGGCCACAAATTGAATAGGGGAACGGCAGCTAACCAGCCTTTAACATTGAACCGGTGAGGATTGGCCACCTGTCAACCACAAGTCCATTGCTGGCTGAATAACACCTGCTCTCTCAATCCCTAGAAGAATGATGAATAACTCGAATCCGACACGAAGCCTTGATGCTGAACGGAAGTGTGGCTGTATGACGAAACACTGGCAAATCCTCATCCCTGGCATGGACCATGATGCCAAAACCGAAACACAAAAGCGAGGATTCCGGCCTGTCAGCTGCTGTGTGTTTTCGGTTTAAGTTTAGAGTTTGTCAAGCCTCGTGAGGGTTTCGAGTTTAGATGCATAAATCGACGAGAACACGTCAGGCCGCTGTGAGTTAGTATTAGTCATGCGCGATGGCACAGTTTTCTTGGGGGGAAAACCGATGCTCGAGCCAGGGCTTTGGGCCTTGGGCCATCAGCCATCACTCGTTTTCGGGTTAAGGGTTATAACTGGACACCCTGTCATGTGACCCAGATTGTCAACCACCATTCGTTGTAGGACGAAGCATCACTGGATTTCGTTTCTGGGCGTATCAGTCATGTTTCATGAAGGAGGGATACGCAGTTTTTAGCCGTTTTGGACCTTCTCGGTGCAAGAATGTTCGTGATGGGCAGCAGGCACACGACTCAGAGTTGGCACCACGCGTCTTACTTTTTCGGGTTTGTGAGCTGCTCAACTGGCCTTGAGTGAGCCCTTTCTGCGGGCCTGGGTTGCAAAGTTAAGTACCCGCTTTCGGGTTCAGAGTTCGTCACCCATCACCCCATGCAAAAGGCTCAAAGCGGGTGTTGAAGGTAACCGTTCACTACCGGTTCTCTCTGTTCTGGGGTTGAGGGTTTGGGATTTGTGTACATCCTGTGGATAAGCACGAAAGCAGTGTGGAACTTGTCCCACATGAACTGCAGAGTGTGAGTCGTCACTTTAACACCCGGAGATCCTGGTCCTGGGCGCAACCTGCTTTTTCCTTGGGTTGTATTTGGCTTCCACGTTTTCCAACATGAGGTCATTCCCGCCGGCAGTTGAGCCACAGAACCAGTTGGAGCTGACGCTTGTGCGGTCCTCGGCCTCTCTCTGCTGATTACAGACTGCGCGGTTTGTTCAGCCGGTCTTGGCAACGTGACCCAATCCTTTCACGGGACACAGCGGTGCTAATTGATGGAGTCGGGTCCACTGACGGCGATGCAGGTCAATCCTCAGATATCGGCTGGCTCCGACATGCGCCTGGAAGGCTGGCTGTGAATCAGAAAGCTCGATTTCCCATTTGCTGGGTCTTTTGTGCCCAGCCAGACGGAAGAAGCACATCCAGTCAAAACTTGTCAGCGAGCCCTGAGGAACGGTTTGGAACGCGGCCAGAGATCCAGAGCTCCAAAACATTTTCCAGAGCGCAAATGTCTGGATGCTGGTGCGGGGCTCACACGACCTGACAATTTGCCGGTTAAAGTCGTGATTCGTCGAGGATGCCCTCTCAGACGGTTTGCGGATGGAGAGTCTTTTGACCATCATTGAACCGAATTGAACCATTTGTGTGTGCGTGTGACAGGAAGACTGAAGATGGACAGGTTTTTCCTTCTTTGGCCGTGTAACTCTTGGCAATGTATCTCTGGGCAGCAGTATGTAAGAAATCGGGCGTCGACGAATGCTGTTGCGAGCACATAACGTGTGCACCGTCCTGCAGCCACATGATGTTGTTGCATGGGAGAGCCAACCGTCTCGGTGGGGAAATATCAGCAAACATTAACATGCCTTCCGACAAAGCCGCCAACTGAACATCAGAAAAAGATCCGGCCCGTGGAGTTTTTGGATCAACCATTGATTGTTGATAGTGAGTTTTCGATGTTTTAGCTCTCGCCGGGTCACTCAGATGTTTTCTACAGGCATAGACACGTTGTTTCCCGGGAGCGCAGGAGATGTACGAGCCGGGAGCTGGCTACCTCTTTTACGAGACCCGGAAACAAGCGGGGATCTTGCCAGGCAGCGGCAGCGGCAGCCCACAGCGGCGTAGCAGAGATGCGCAGATCTCGAGAAGTGCTCTGCAGGCTTCGCTCTGCAGGCCATCACCGGGGCAGAAGTCCTGCCATGGCTGCCGCTCTCCTCCACGCTTCCGCCGCTCTCAACCCAATATCAGAAAATGCCCTTGCTTTGGCTAATTTCTCTTCCATCAGAGCACTCAACAGATTCGGGGCCTTGCAGCCAAGACTTCCGATCATGATCAGCTTCCGCCTTGGGACGAGCTTTACGGCACCTGCAGGAGTCTTGCATCCATGCAGCACAAAGTCTGTCGAAGGACACAGAGTAGAAGAAAGGCACGCATGGAGCTCTGAGCTCCGCTGGCTATCCGAGGGCTGCTCTGGAGCTGCTGGCGCCCAGTGGCTTCAGCTTTTCAGAGGCCCGAAATTTGCGGCCATTCCGCTTCCAAGACGTGTTGTGCTTGCCTCAAATGTGGCTTTACACCATGGATGCAAGGCGTGTACGTTCAGCAGGATCTCCCCACTCCACCTGGAAGTTGATGGCATCCCGGCAGCAATTCACCTTCAGTGCTTCTTTACTGGCAGGGCTTGACACCCTGCAACTCAGGATTCACGTGGCTTCCAGAAGGCTCTTTGTCGGCGTGCCGCTTGCCTTCATGCACTTCTGGTGGCTTCGAGGATAAGGATGAGACATCCATCTTGCACAGCAGCATTGCATCGAGCCTGGTAGAAAGTTGCTTCACTGTTTCAAGGCTCGTAGTTGTGCACAGCAGCTCCGTGAGACGTAAGGTGCTGGGCTTTATGAAAGCCCCGAGAACCAGAGCACTGCGGAGGTATACCTGCAGAAGTTAATCTTGCTATGGAAGTTGACGGATGGTAAAACGATGCAGAGCAGTGTGTGGGGGACGACACGGAGTCCTGGCATGTCCTAGTGCAGGGCATCAGCGTTGCTTTGGGACTTTGAGCGTGATTGAGGCTTCTCCCCCGTCGCGAGAACTTAACAGCAGATTACCCTAAAAGGGTGCAAATTCCAACAGCTCCGTTGTGCAGGCCTCTGTGCAGGATCGGCAAGTGGCACTTCTCTCGCTCTTTCCAGGCCACGTGTTTGGAATGCACGAAACGAGAGCGTGATGGAATGCTAACAAACATCTTGTGCACCAACGTCAGGCACCACACTCCAGCGTCGGTTGCTATACGCACTCTACGTTGAGGCGGAACTTAGTTTTCGATTCCATGATGACATCAGGAGGGTGTGGCTCTGGCTTGCATTGGCTGGCCCCATGCAGGTGTTCATCCCGAGCAGCTTCCCGCTGCAGAATTCCTGGCGTCTTCGCGTCTTTCGCAACGACAGCGGCACTGTGGAGTCAGCGACGATCCCGGGTTGCTTGGTGCGAGGAAGTTTCAGGCGTCGTGTTCAAGGGCATGATGAGGATTTCAGCCTTTTGGGAAGATGGCAGCAAGTGCGAAGGCATCTCTTCATGGTGGGATATGTGGCATGCCACACTTTCTCGTGGCAGGAAGGGGGCCAGAGTGACCTGAAATGTCTTCGGATTGGAGCAACCAGACATGAGATTCGTGTCGAGCCATGTTCCCGTTGCGACATTTGATAGTCGAGTCCTGCATTGTAACACGACCAACAAGACCTGACAGGAGACTGACATGACTGCAGGAGCCCGCATGACCGCAAGCAACCAGCACTCAAGCCAACCCTTGACTCGCAAGACCTCACTCCATGCACCTACCTGTGAAGCTTTCATCATGACGTTTGCCTCTCTCCGGCCTATGCCGCCACTTCCTGGCGAAATGTGCGCAGCGCACTGATCGGAGCAGGCGACCAAGTATGATCTGGCAGTTTCGTCAGTTCAGACGGCAGAGCCCGCGAAGTAGTGCCGTTTCAGACCAGGCATGGCTGGGACATCCGCAGAAAGCAAACCGGCAGCTCGGGCCAATGCTTTCATGCTCAATGTCAGGGATTCGTTCGGAAGTTTGAGAGCTCAGGCACACCATGGGCGGGGGATGCTCAGCCATGCGGTTCAAAACCATGTCGCGTCCTTCAATTCCTTCTTGGACCATGGCCTGGATCGAGACTTGCAAGGAAGGAAGACCGGTGTTGTCGTGCCTTGAGAGGCTAGATGCAGTGTGAGTCGTTGAAAGACGATCCGCCAAGGAATAGTTGAAGGCCTGCCAAGCACGGAGGTGGAACCTGTAGAGGATGACGGCACCGGCGAGAGCCTGACGCTTTGACCTGCGCTTTCGGATGGTTCGCAAAGGGCCGAGAAAAGGCTTAGGGCTTAGCGGCTTTGGGATTTAGGACCTCTCCCTCTCTGCGCTGAAAGGATCGTTTACCTCTCGGAGCTCCTGATCTCCAAGCCGGTGAATCGAGCGCACCCAGGTTTCGTGGCAGAAGGCACCGCCCAGAAGCGTACCGGTACAGCCTGTACGGTGCCGTGCTGTGCTCCGACTGCTTTGACGCTTGCCGCTTGCAGGCGACGTGGATCTTGATCTCACTATGAGGAAATGGCTGCCCTCTGCAGCTGGACTTCGAATGGCTAATGGCTTGAGGAAAGAGCGCATTCATTCTGTGATTGGAGCCTTCCGGAGCTGTCCACGGCGACTTAGGACTGTCGGATGGCCCATTCCACCTATAGTGGAGCCCTGACCGCCACGTTCGAGTGCCGAATGGGGAAGAAGAGCCCGTGGAAGCTCGGATTGATCTGGGCATCTGGATTTCGAATACCTTCCAGTTCCTTTCGCATGAGGAAGCTGTGACATCCTCGCTACTTGTAGCTGGTCTTGCAACTAACTTCTCAGGAGCGCGACGATTGAGCTTGGAGAGATACCTGCGCCTCGGGTACGCAAGTGGCCAGGTTTGCAAAAAACTCTGCCCGGTTGGGTCCTTGTCCAGGTGATGGTGCGCTCAAAGAAGTGCAATCTCCATGGCCTGAGCCAGGCCCGGTTTGACGACTCGGATGCCTAAAGCAGAACGCTGCCATCGCTGCCGTTGCATCAACGGAGTTGACCATAGGAGAAGGAACAGGTCTGATGAAGCACACTGGAAATTGACGTTCGCACCAGAGCTGACGACAACATTCGATGTATGATAGGAGAACCAAGGCGATGGCAGCTTGCGTGCTTCGCCATTAGCTGTTCAAAGGTGGTGCAGTCCCCAGCACAAGTCCAAATGGCCACAGGGTCGAAGGCCCCACCCTTTGATCCCATACATTGATAGTTACATTGCTGGATTGGCTCTGAGACTCTGGAGAGGCCAAGCTGGTCGAGGCGCGGGAGGATTGCAGCTCAACTGCAGATGGCGGACCTTCGCAGAGACAGCTGAGCTGGGAGCTGCAGCCTCCAGAGACGAAGGACAAAGGTGGGGGCGGCGGGGGCGGGGGCGGAGGGTTGGTGCCTTTCAGGCACGGAGTCCGGCGGCTATTTCTTGCTGCGGGGCCTCGAGCGTGTTGTCCGCCTGCTGGTGATGCCGCGCCGGAGCCCCGGGCCGCCTTCTTAAAAGCATTGGCACAGTCCCGTGAACTGAGGTTCGAACTATCCGATGGCCATCACCCGACCATCTTACAAGAATCGAGGCAAACTCTATACCGCTCATGCGGTCTTGATGAGGTGTTGCAGAGCCGATGGAACTACTCAGACCAACACGTTGCCTGGCAGCATCGGACAAGCACCACGTGCTCCCGTGTGTGCTCGGCAAGCTTTTCGCGATAGTGAGTTGAGGCTGCACTATTGCGTGGACGGGTCGTGCAATCTGCGCTTCAGCCACGGCAGGGAGGAATGGCTCATCCCGCTATCCGTGGTGGCGCACAGCCTCTATCAGGTTCAAGACCCGGTCTAGACAAGTCTACGCAATGGCCATGAGCAGCTTCACGTTGAGGCAGCAGTTTAGTTCAGTTGAGTCTTGCTGATTTAGGTCTCTGACAGATTGCTAGTGGAGATGTTCGCAGGCTCGGCTGAAGTTGAAGCTTCTCTGCGTGGGTTCGTTGATATGTGCATGCTTCTGCACCAGGAGGCGGCGTCCCCGACAGCAACGTGGGCGACGAGCCTGGCCCAAACCATGACCTTTGGGAGACAGCCTGCTGGCACTGCATTGGCCTTGTTGTTCCGTCTGTTGCGTAGGCTTGATCTCAGAAGTACTGAGACCAGTGCTCCTTTGGGAAGCATGTCACATGAGACAGTAGGTCCTTTCGTCGCGCACCATGCCTCCTCCAAGTTTCCGCAATCGCACGTCTGCTCCAATAGGGAGTTACCAAATCTGAGAATCGGCCGAATCGATAGAAATCTCCGACGCGGGTCAGCTGCTGAAGCTTTCCGGCGAATGCTGAGGATGCAGACCTGAATCTCGTCTGCCGACTCCTCCCGCGCAAACAGCAGTCATGCACGTGGCAAAAGTAAGCCTAAAACTTCTTCGACATCATAACGATGCTTCAAGCAGATTGCACCAGTGTAAGAGTTTAAAAGACAGCCGCAGGGACATATTTCTTGTTTTGCCGGCTCTTGCAAGTCCCCAACATGATGAACTCGTGCCGGAGAATCACAATCAGAAAGCGCTCGACGGTAAACCCAACTTGGATCTTTTCGTGTCGCTACCTTCAGTTGTCTTACACATGCTGGTAGCTTCTTCCGGCAGCCTGCAACGTCGAGTTGCAGCTCAGCGATTGCATGTGTTCAGTGGGAATGGACCGTCATGAGGTATTGGTGATGCTGCAGCAGCAAAATGCCAAGCTTCGCATTGGTACCTCGACAGGGATTCCATTGAAGCTATTGCTACAGCCTGCCACAGCTTCGCAATCATCGGCGCTGTAGTCTGTGGCTGTGAAGGGGTGGGGCCGGGGTTCCTGTTCACAAAGCAGAGGCGGCATGAGCGATGCTCGGCAATACCTCGGCCGCACCTTCCGCGTCGTCTTCGGGAGTGAGGTGCCCCGGAGGTACACCGATGAGGAGAGGTTCTGTCCTTCAGCACATATCGGCCTCTCCGAGACAAATCTGACAATCTAAGTCGCTTGCGACTCTAGATCCTCCAGCGGTCCCACAGGAGATTGGCGAGTGGATGGTCAAGAAGTTCTTTCTTGTCCACACGGAAGACGGCTGGCTCAAGCTGAACACACTTTGTGTCATGCGGCTCGGACTCGAACAGGTGCTGGTCTTTATTAAACCCGTGAAAACAGCAGAACACCATACTATCCTAATTTGCCACTACAAGACTTTTTTCACTGCAACGCCTGGCGCTCTGACAAAATTGCTTAGGACTGGGTTCTTGCTTCAAGCCTAGACACCACATGCAGAATTCCCAGAGAAGCACGAATGGACTGAATGAAAATGTTGAGAGCCACCCAAGCCGCTTCCGGAGATCTGCCCGAGGGTGTTGGACGTGCTCATGTGAGAAGCAGTGAAGCAGACTGTGTCGCTCTTCGTAGGTATCAGGTATTGCTCACAGATTCTTGCTGGATGATTATGGGATTGACGGGGCCTGGCCGAAGGTTTCAGAAGCTCATGGGCCTCGTCCGTGGCGAGGTTGATCCAGACAACCAGGAGCTACTATAGTTCGACGATGTTAGCACATACGCACCAGGATCGTGGCTACAGCGAACGCAAGTGCCTTTTTTGCAGGACACCATGAGCAGCCACGAGGTTCTCCACCCCGGCCAGCTGCAGCCTGTCTCAAGCACGGCTTTACTTCTCGTGCGAGTGCACTCCTTCAAACTCCTTCATAATTAGTAAAGCGACTCCTTGTGGTGCTTCAGCAAGTAAACACGATTACCTTGTTTGCTAGATTCATGGTTTGCAAGGTACGGGATGGTTCTGAAGGAAGCGCTCGAAGTGATGCTCCAAAGATTTCGGGCGCAGGCCTTGCAGTTTGATGCAACCTCAGCCTGCAGCAAACGATTTGGCAGGTGCGCAAGTTGTCACGGAAGGAAAACAAGCATCCGCCGCCTGACATCATTACGCTCCCTCCACCTACTCACGATGTCTTCATGTGTTGCTCCCAGGAAACCCATTTCTGAGTTTTACGATAACGAAAAGCTCTTCATCAAGACGATGATGCAATGTTGCGAAGTCCAGTGCTTTGGAAGCAGACGGGACTGTGAGTAAACAGTTGCAGAGTGCCATGAAGCGGACGTATTCGATCAGCGGGAGAAGAAACTTCTTAGCGCTTGATGCCGAGGAAGCGCATGGAGAACTTCCTGTCAACGGGAAACGTGAACTCCAGGAGTGGTCTGGACTTGATGCAGGTACCGTGATATTGGACTCAGCTTGCCGGCCCACTCGGGCTTGTTCTCAAGCAAAGGTCTTGTGAGCAAAACGGTTTTCCCGTCGCGGCTGCAGAGAGGTTTCTGGCTACACCGTCGTGGCCGACAAGCTTAACCAGG